ATGGGAAAGATATATTGAAGAGCAATAGCTCTAAAAGAATTAAAAATTTTAGCAAAATAAAATAAAAATTAGTTTTGAAACAAAATTAAATTTAGAGATTAAAGTATTAATTTAATAAAAGATGAAAGTTGAACTTAATAGTCAAGACTATGAAATAATTGGTCAAAGGATAAAAACCCTTTAACTTGATAAGTTAAAGGGTGAATAACTCTGATTTATAAATTAAAGGGTAAAATCCCTTAAACTCAAAAAGTTGAAGGGCAAAGCATACGTATATGCCTTGAAAAACTACAGGAAACATCGAAGGCCCATTGAAATGTATATTGTTGACCGATATTTCTAAGCAGAATTTTTTTAAATTGTACATGTAGGTGATGGTTTAAGAGTGTTATTAATATTTTTTAATTATTAATTTATATTAAAAAATAAAAAGAGTGTTATGAATTTTAACATTATTGTCATATGTTTTAATTTTATTGGTTAGTTTTTAAAATTAAAAAAAATTATTTTCTCTATATAACTTAAGGGATTCAAATTTTTACAATAGATTACATATTAAAAGTGTAATTTGTCATATAAATTTATTTAAATATTTTTAATGAAATAACATAAAAAATAATTTTATTAAAAATATTTAAATGAATTTATAAAATAAATTACTCTTTTACTATGCAGTCTACCTAAAAAATACTTTTATTAACTTAAATAGATAAAAAGCACAATAATGGTTTTCTTAACACAAAAATAAAACAGAAATAAAATATACCACAACTTTAAAATTAATGAGTTTAAAGCTCCACGTAATCAAGTAAAACCCTTTTAGGAGTTAGTAGAACTCAATTTTTATATTTTTTGTTGATTTAGTAAAGGAAAATAATTTAAGAATAACTTTTTATATTATTTTTTATATAATTTTACGTATTATTTAAATAATTAATTTTTTTTATATATTTAAGATTTATAATATTAAATATATTTACTTATTTAATAATATATAAAAATTATATAAAAAATTATTAAAAGATTATACTTTTTTTTAACAAAAATAATAATTAATAATTAAATTAAAAATTATTAATAATTAAAAATTTGATCCCAAAATAACTGATTTTTCACTTTCATTGAGTCGCGTGACCTATCGGGTGGAGTTAAAAGGATCATACCTGTTGCAGAAGGTTTTAGCTAATTAGTTGTTTGACTAGTTGATTTTATTCCGAACATACCCTTAGCAACTGAGAGCGACTTGCTTTGACCCGACGACGCAGGCCGAGCGCAATTTGGGAACCCAAATGATTTTTTTGCTTTTAAAATTACCCAAAAACCAAGGAGGAAGGCCAAATTTACCATTAAGTCGCTAAAAGCAGTAGTCAGCGTTCGCACTTTGCGAAAATGACGAAAAACCCGAAGCAAATGGGTTGATTCTCAGTGCAAAACGTCATTATTTCTCATTTCCGTTCTTACATTTCTCAGACTTCTTACCTCTCACCGAACTCGATTACTTTCATTTAATCTTTCCGATTTGTCGTTCCCACTCCCAGACCTATGAAATAACTACGGGAGACGCAAAATCAGCGGCGGAAAGTGTTTTTCTAAAACTTCAATCCCTCTTTTACTCTGGAGTCTTGTTCATTCTTTTGAGTTCCTGATTCGGTCAACGAGCTGTGTGCCGGTGATTTTCTTGGAAGAATTGATGGCTATACGACTCTCGTCGAGGGAGGTTGATGATTTGGGGCTTTTAGCTGGTTGATGTTGAGAAGATTATGGGGAGAGCAATCTCAGCGTTCCTTTGGCTTATTTTGTTGTTGGATTTTGTTTTGAGGGTCGCCGGTAATGCAGAAGGTATGTACTCGATTCTTTTTTTTTTTTTTTTGGGCGTTTGCATCTCTGTTGTTGTGACTTGATTGTATTGATTCTTTAATTACATCCTTATGTGCTATATTTAGCTCAACTTGATGGTTTAAGAGGTATAGATTGACCATTTCTTCGCTTATTAAAGTGGTTCGACTTTTTTTTTCTTCTTTCTTTTTTTTGCCAAGGAAAGTTGATTTCAGTTGTTTCTTGTGATATTCTAGTGCTGCATACGATCGATATAAGCTGTGGATGCGTGCTATTGGCTTGGCTTATTTTCTATACCAATTGACTTTATTTGGGAAAAAGTTGCGTGCCAATCTAGATCTTCCTGTGTTATGGTATCTGAGTAGAGTACTTGTCCAACCGTATTCATTTTGCATCAATATATTAAAAATCTTGTTTAACTTTTTCTTCCTTTATAGTTAATGAAAATATGGTTTTATTTATTCTTAGAATGCTAGTCAAATTAAAGTTTCTAAAACTAAAATGCAAGTTGCTAAGTTTTAAGTCCAAAGTTAGAAGCAGACCGCCTCCATTGTTTAAATTTCAAATTCTGGTAGTGAATAGTGAAGGGAGCTTCATTCAATCTGTTAAGCCTGTTGATAATTTGTTTGGTGTGATTGGATATACTCTATATTCAACACCTCATAAATTCTTTATCTCCATAAAACAGGTGATGCTTTGAATGCGTTGAAAACTAATTTGGCTGACCCTAATAATGTCTTACAAAGCTGGGATGCAACCCTTGTCAATCCTTGCACCTGGTTTCATGTTACATGCAATAGTGATAATAGCGTGACACGAGTGTAAGTTTCTGTATTTGACTTTGCTATTTCTTTTATTATTGCTGTCTACAATTCTAGTGTTATTCTGATGACAATCTACTTCTTCTTCAAATTTAGTGATCTTGGAAATGCAAATTTATCTGGCCCACTGGTTTCACAGCTTGGGCAGCTTTCAAATTTACAGTATTTGTAAGTCACAATTTTCTTCACTGCGTTGCATTAATTTTCCACTGGATTGCATTTTCTTTTCCTTTTTATGTGGTTGGCTTCTTTTCCAATCCCTTGAATAATATGGATCATATGCATTTTTCATTTGCTGCTTTTAATTGCTAATGATGTGGCAAATTTCATTGTTTTTTTTTTTTCTTGTGGACTGCTTTTGCTATAAGAAATCACATCCTCATGTGTTCCATTAGTTTGTGAACTCTACTTTATTTACAGTTGCAAAAGCTGAGATTTGGTGGTAAAACCTATGGCAAAGTAATGGGTTTTCTTTTGGATCTTGGATGTCATAACGGAGATTGGACTATAGAGTCAAAAGCTGTTAAAAATGCCTATTGAAAGTTAATGATAGGAAGATAAGAATGAATAAATGAAAATTTCATTATGAGTTTTATTATAAAGAAGAAATGAGTAATAACAACTTTATGCTGTCTATTGACCCACCACAACCATCCTCTATTCAGGCATGGTACATACTTTGTAAATTGATGTAACCTGAAACATATTGGTCCTAAGATTACTGTGCATTCCGTATTTTCACCCCACATAATGAAGGATATTAAGTGATATCATCCCAGATTGGTTAATTTTTGAATTTTCTCTTATTGTATGTTAAGGTTGAGTTCTACAACTATTGCCAAGTGTTTAGATTTGAATTGAATGCTTGAAAATTGTTCAGAAACTAGGTTTGTTTGTTGCCAGTGTTTCTAAGGCACTGCACCCAACTGCCTCACTTTGCCCCTAGGTGGCAGAGCTGGCCATTTAACCTCAGATCCACAAGACCTGACCTCAGATCAGTAAGAAGCCATTGCCTAGTATGAAAACCAAAGCTGGAAAACATCTCATACTGCACCAATGAACTTACTTCTGAAATTGTGGTTGGAAGGGATCTTTGACCCTCCTACAGTAGGGAAATAAATAGAAACAATTGGGGTGCTCAACAGGCTGTGAACTTTTTTCTGACATTTTTTAAAGATTTTTTTTTGGCATTTTTTGCATCCTTGTTTTTTACTAAAAAATCAGTTATTTGGTCACCCTTTTTTTTTTCTGTCATAATATTAAGTTGTCTTAGTTGTTTTCCAGGCCTACATGTCCTGGAAGTATTTCATGTTTCTATCCATATCAGTCAAGTTTGAGGGTTTCTTGTGATCTTATAGTCATGTTGGGCCTCTCCACATATTTTCAATTGGTTTTAGGTGGAATGCCATAATATGGGATTCAGGCACAAGGCATTCATTTAGTTGAATACTGCATAATGGAAGTTCTCTTTTCTCTGCCTAAGCAGACCTCTCAATATGTAAAGTATCAATGTGAATCCTAGGAATCACCTAATCTGAAAATAGCATGATGTATTTTATATGGCTTCATTATAGTTTTATTTGAAAATAAATCAGTTGTGCGTTCCCAGATGTAAAGTAATAATTATAATGTGAAAATCTTAAAAGTCTTAATTATACTTCCTCTTTTCTTTCTTTCTTTCTTTCTTCTTTTTTTTTTATTTTTATTTTTTATAAATTTATAATTTTTATAATTTTTTCATGGCTTTGTGATATAATTTTACATGAACAAGTCAATTGTCCATACCGAGGCTTGGGTGTGGACATGTTAGAAAAGGTGGTAATTCATGAATTCAAAAACATGATGAAAGGCACTCTCCTAGCATTCTTTCTCCTCTTTTCTATGTAATGGATTAAATGGCTTATACTTTTATATTATTTTGTTCTAAAGTTTTTGAGGATTTGCTGATTCTCTTCAGATTTATTTACAACACAATGTTATTTCTAAAATTTTTAGTTGTCTATAAAGCTAGTTGAAGAGTGTGATAAGATGCTCCCTTGCTTACTTGAAATTGCTATTGTGCCCGAAGCCAAAGCAAATATGACAAAACAGGAGGCATTGGGAAACTTTAATTGGTGAAGGTTTCTTGTTATCAGGGCCTCCCTTATCTTATTTTCCATACTTGTTTATGTTAGAATATTTCCATTTAATTTGAGACTATTTTGTCAACATCATAAGTTGGTGATGTTTATAACTTTCTGTTTATCCAATTTAAAGTGCATTCATACTTATCATTAAAATAAGAGAAAAGAAAATCTAGGAACAGAATTTAATTGCAGATTCTCCTGATTCATCTTTAGCCATAATAATTGGGTTTTGAAGACGGTTATCAATCATTATGTTTGTTTTAATATATTGTGAATTATGAATTTTAGATGCACTTTGTTAATGTGTGCTTTTGCCAAACTCACATTCACCATAACCACTAAGTCACATTTCTATGGCAGGGAACTTTATAGTAATAATATTAGTGGAAGAATCCCAGAGGAGCTTGGAAATTTGACGAACTTGGTGAGCTTGGATCTTTACTTGAACACCTTAAATGGACCCATTCCATCTACGCTTGGCAAGCTCTCAAAACTACGTTTCTTGTATGAACACATCTTATATTGTTTATGCTTCTAATTCATCTATTTTCTGATTCTCTTGCTTTTATTATTTTATTTTTTATTTTTTTAATGTTTGGGTGGATTTGTTAGACTTTTCCTCAAAGTCCAACTTCAACTCTTATATAAGTGAAAATGCTCTAACTAAATTTCAAGTCTCATATGTATTGTGTATCACAGTTTTCTTGAAGTCCATAGTACCCCTTTTTGGCATAAGAATTAAAATATTAAATTTTCATTGGTATTAAATTAAGTAAGTATTAAAATTTTTATATAATTTTGAATTCCCAAATGATTTTAAATTGAATTTTTTTAGTTTGGTTAAAGATTTAGTTTACAAGTAAGGGTTGGTTAATGTTATTTATTTTGCTTACCAAATTTTGATTTTTTTTAATCCATTTATCCTAAAATAATGGTAATCTTTTTTTGCCAAAAATTTATGCCAAATTAATTGTCATTTTTCCTATTTTTAAGGTGAACAAATATTTCTTCTCACTTTAATCCTATTGTTTTCCCTTAAGTTTAATTCTTTTACCTTATAACCGAAATCTTTCCTTCACCCTTATTTCTTTTTTAGGGTAATAATGGAAAAAAACATAAGTAAATTATTTAAAAATTCTTATTCCATAGGAAAAGTCAAAAAGAATTATTTTGGGATGAAGAGAGTAATTAGTACAGTCCATGTAGTTAACCAAAATCTTTCAATCCTTTATCATTAAGGCTATGTTTGGTTTAAGGGAAATGGAGGGGGGAGGGGATGGGCTTCCTTTATTTTATTTTTTCCTTTGAATTTTTTTTATTCATTTTTACCTATCCAAATGAGGGGAGGGGAGGGAAATGAACTCCTTCATTTCCCCCAAACCAAACTTACTCTAATTAAACTAAAATAATTCTGTTAACTAAATTATTAATTGAATTATTAAAACTAAAAAAATCTATTTGGAACATTGCTTAATCTGGAATTAATTAAAATATGTCCACTTGTGATGAATAAGGTAATTTTTAAATTTTAATAATTATTTAATTAATATTAATAACAATTTGATATTTTAACTATTACACCACAAAGGTATTATGGATGTATCTTAAAAAACTCTTACACTTGTGGTATACTCCCTCTGTTCCAGAATAATAGTCGCTTTTTAACTTAAATTTTCATTCTTTTATATTTTTTGTATTTTTTATATTTTATGGGAGAAATATTTTTTCCTCCATTAACCAATTGTTATTCCTTGACTTTAATTATCTATCTAATCACAAAAAGTCTCTTATTATATTTTATCTCTTTCTTAAGGGAAATATAGTGAAAACATAAATATTCCCTATATCTTTAATTTGGAGAAAAAGTTGAAAAATGACTATTAATATGTGAAAAATAAGTATTTAATTTCATTCACTTTTATAAGACTTAAAATTAGTCTTTCACCGAATGAGAAAGAAAAGTCTGATGACCACTGAAAACAAATTTTCCTTTTTGCTTTATGCCCTTTTGTCTACTAAAATGGATCAATAAATTTACTGGAACAGTGCTTATTATGTGCTTATGTCTAAAGTAATTGGGACACAACACACATATCTTTTTCCTATAGTTTCTTCCAGAAAGATAGTTAAGTAGCTTTTCATTGATGTAAGATTTCAGTGAGAAGTTTGTTTGTCACAGGTCCTGATTTGTTGTAATATCTTAGATTCTTAATTGGAAATTTTTGAATTGTCTTGTAGGTTTAGGTTTCCTTGGAATTGTTTCATTCTAGACTTAGCGTTCTAGTCTAAGCCATAAGGGTTTGATTTGATAAAAGGCTGAATTGTATATTCTTTTCTAGATTGAAGTTTCCCTTATTTGGTTTGAGGGAAATGGAGGGGAGACAATATCCTTTCATTTCCCTTCCCTTCCCTCCCCTCATTGGTTATGCTAAAATTATAAAGGAAATTAAAGGTAACCTCCTCCCCTCCCCACCCTTCTCCTCTCCTTCCCTCCAATTTTTGTTATCCAAATAGAAAAATTTATCCCACTCCCCTTAAAACAAACAAGCTGTTAAAGTCTCAACAGTTTTATTTTTTAGTTTTAATCTTTTCTCAATGGTATTGGCCAAAAAAAAAAAAAGATCTTTTCTCAATGGTAATGGTAAAGCTGTCAGCTTGTGTGGAATGGCTATGCAGGTTTGAGAGTTTACACTTAGATTGTTGCTCAAGTTGTTATGTTCTATCACCTGTTATTCTGGCTCTAGGTTTTAGAATGGAAATGTGCATGTTTTGACCAGGCAAAGCTGTATGCATAGTAGATACTGTTGTTGGTGATAATATGAGCCATAGCAATCATATTGTCCACACACATTAAGACTTCGATTTTTTTTTTTTCTTTTAACTCCGTGATATGATTATGCATTTGTTCAATCATGTATCTAGTTCTTTTATAATGCAGTTTATTTCACACTTTCTGTTACACAAAGCAGGCGTCTCAACAACAATACCTTGACTGGAGAAATTCCTCGGTCCTTAACCACTGTTATGTCACTACAAGTCCTGTAAGTGTATATTTCACAATTTTCATTAACCTTATCAACATTAGTTTGATCTTAGTGTCAGTGATTATTTTTTTATCATGGGACTTTATATTCTGTGAAATGCAGGGATCTTTCAAACAATGTGCTTACAGGAGAAATTCCAGTAAACGGTTCTTTCTCACTATTTACTCCCATAAGGTTTAACTCTACTGCTCTCTTTTACCAGGATGTTCCAACACTTTTTTTCTCAATTTTCTTCAAGTTTAAAGGACTAGGACACTTGCTTAACTAACTCTTGTATTACATTTTTGCAGTTTTGCTAATAATAAGCTTAAGCCTCTTCCATCTTCTCCACCTCCTTCTTTGAAACCTTTAGTGCCATCACCTTCAGGTTTGTACACAATTGCTTATAATTCAGTCGAACTTTCTTGGTTTTCACAATGTATGCAGAAGCTGTTTTGCTGTTTTGCTGTTATCATTAATTCATGGTGCATGAAGCTTTAAAAGTTAAAAGAAACTATTATTGTTTACTTTAAAAAATTTTAGTTAATTAAAAATTTTTTTCACCTACCCAATAAGGGAACCAAAATTTATTTGGTTAATTCAGTTTTGAATAAATTTAACTTATTAACCAAATTAGTTGAACCAAATATCAAAAATTCAATTTGGAAATTTAGTTGATTTGGTATTTGGTATTAACTGGAAGGTGCTAACTCCAAGGTGTAGCACCACTTTACTGGAATTTTAGGCATTTAAAAAAAAAATCTTTTTTTGAAAAATAGAAAAATAAAAACTGTTAATCAAAATTGTAAAAAAAATTAAACATTTTTTAGAATAGCCAATTCTATATTATAAAAATAAAAGAGATAAGAAAAGATGAAGGGATGGAATAAAAATAAACATTCTTTTATTCATAGCCCATTGGGTTTTTTAAAGCCAAAATTTATTTTCTACGGCTCTTTTTTTTTTTATGTGATTTTCTATGGCTGCTTAGCTTTAGTTTGTCTTTTGCAGTAAGGGGTAGTGTCAGAACCCAAAAAAAAAAAAAAAAAAAAAATTCTTCATCTTTCTTGCCCTTCCTATGAACAAGATCTGAGAAATCAGGTCTCTAAATCTTATGTGTGAGAGCATATGGCCAGTGTGCCCAGGCTGTGACTTCAGCAGAGTTTTGACCTTTGATATAGACTAGAAAAGAAGGTAGGAATAGAGGCAGAATCAGAATGAGGAAGAAGAGAAATTGCAGAAAAAGAAAGTTAAGAGGAAGAGAGATTCCAGAGAAAGTCAATTCTTCATAATTCTACACAACACCATACAATTCGTCCAAGATAAAAACAAACAGCACACTAACTGCTATTAACTTCCTAAATGAACTTTAATAACTACCACAAATTGATAATTTAGTTAATGAAGAATAAAGTTTGTCCATGTCAGCAATCCAAGTTGGTCCTACAAACTGGCATTGCATCAATACCCTCCTCTTGAATTTGTCCTTGACCCCAAGGATGAAATGCTGGAAATCTCATCTGAATATTAGATATTTGTTCCCAGGTGAAATCTTCCACAGGTATTCCCTTCCATTTAATTCACAAATCATGAATTTTAGGCTGCACTGGTAGTTTCAGCCTATAAGCTATAGCACTAACCTTGGCCACCATCTGAAATGCTCCTGCATACTTGGGAGAATGTTTATGAATCGTCTCATGCAACAAAGACAGCTGCCTGAAAAGATGGTGCTTGAGATAAACCCAATCCCCCACACTATATTCTCTTTCCACTCTATTCTTATCTGCTAATTGCTTCATTCATAACTAAGCTCTCTGGAAGACAGATTTAATCAACTCAATAGCTGTCTCCCTAGCTTGTAAAAGATCTGTCAACTGCGTCAACATTAGAATCTCCAGGAACATTTGGGATTTAGGAACATGCAATGGTGGTTTTTGTCCATAGAGCATTTCATAATGTAAAGAAGTGATAATTAGTATTGTACCACCACTTAGCCAAGGGTAGCCATTTAACCCGTTCGTGAGGATGAAAACTGGACTTACACCAAAAAAATGACTTTTAAGCATCTGTTGAGGACTTCTGTCTGGCCATCTCTCTGAGGAAGATAAGAAGATGACATGTTCAACTTTACCTTGCGTAATCTAAACAACTCTATCAGATTGTACTTGTGAAAGTTCGGTCTCTATCACTAGCAATGGACTTAGGCATTCCGTGTAATTTGTAGATGTTAAAGAAGAATACTTCTGTAACATCCCCTTTTGATAAACCATTTTTGGTTTATCAAGTAGGGAAATGTACTGCATAAGATAAAAAAAAAAACAACAGGAAATATCTATAGAAAAAGATTGCAGTGGAAGTAAAAACACTTCTAACATGAAATGTTTCCTTATGAGAAAAACTTGCTTTCAAATCAATTTAAAATTGTACAGAAAGAAAATCAATTACCTGCAAAGGAAAACTAATTTAATGGAAAATATCTTAAGGAAAATATCAAAATACTCAAAGTTATAAAATAAACTAAGCTAAGCCTATTTTTCATTGATTATAGATTAAATACATAAAAGCAATTTACACATAAAATGCATGAGCAAATGCTTTTTAAAGACTTTCCAAAATAATAAAAGCAGAATTATCGTTTTGGTAATAACTTAATCTACTTTCATATCAAAAGCCTTGAGGTCCTAACTTCTACGTACAAGGAAGCTTTCAAGCTGGTGACTGCTACTCTAATCTTCAAATCTGAAATGGGGAATATCATGAGCTAAAAGCATAGTAAGTATTAAGTTAGCTACAAACTTGAGTCCTAAGGCCCCTAGACCTACACAGACAATTTAAACCAAGCCACATAACATTATAAATCTTAGTATTTAAATAATAATTTAATATCACAAGGTTGTTCACGGTCGATCAAGCATAATGCATAAAACAAAAATCACACAATGCTATGGAGTCCACTGAATGTGTGCTAGCAACACTTGTACCGGAGCTAATCACGGCACTCACCCTATTGCGTAGAGGTCCACTAAATACTCCGGAGGGTCCACTGAATACCTCAAGCTTTAAGCTTAGGTCCACTTTCTCCATAGCCACAAACACATACAAATGTCACATAAATTTAAAACACATTCAAAATAATTATAGGAATAATTCCACTCATTTATTAATTCCATTTATGCATTTTTAAAGCAATTAGAAATAATTTTGATAATGCTAACTCACTTTCTTCATCCACAACAAAATTGGACATTCATTTCTTATTTTAAGAATGCAATCAATGCATGATTAATCAACCAAAATTCAAATCAAGAGCAGCAAGACAAGGGCAGCACTCAAACCCCAATTAAATATTCACAAATTTTACTTTATCATGCAATTTTTCAAAAGTCTTCACACAAATATACAGGAAAATACCAAAACAATAGCAACATATTGACCAATAAAATTCAAATAAAATTCCAGCATCAAAATGAACCCACTTCTAATTCTATACCGTACATGTACCCAAAAATCCAAATAGTTCTTAAGACAATTTGAATACCCAAAATCTCTTAAACAAAGGATTTAGAGTCAATTTCACTAATTTAAACTAATTTTTAGTATATTATAGCAAAATCTATAATTTACCCAAAACTCTAATCCAAATCTATAGCTAAAACTCATACTTACCTATGGAAATCAAAGCATCAACAGTAAAAATTGCAAGAAATTTCAACTGAAGAGTGCGTCCCTACATAGCTTTAACACAGCACCTGGCTGGAAAAGAGAAAGAAAGATGCAGGGGACCGACTGGAAGAAGAAAGATGCAGAGAAACTGGTGGGTTCGGGAGGCTTCTATTTTAAGCCAACAAAATTGTTTTGCTTGGTTGATATAATGCCATTTGGCAAAGAAAATTGGAATAATTGGGTTAAGGTCCTTCAACTCCTACTAAGTTCTACTTAAAACCCCCAAACTCTAAATCCAATCAATTTAATCCCTAAAACTATACAATAAAGGACTCTAATTTCTAATATATTCACTAAAGTATAGGGGGTGTTACAACTTCAGCTACCTTAAGAGCTGTATAAGGTTGTGCCAAAGGTAAACAATGAGCATATTTGCTCAATCTATCAGCCACCACAAATGACAGTTTTACCTTGTGAGATTGGCAGCCCTTCAATAAAATCCAAAGAAATTTCATCCCATATTCTTTGAGGAATATTCAAAGGTTGTAACAATCCACCAGGTTTGGTGTTCTCTGATTTATGCATTTGACGAACAGCACAACCTCTAATAAAATTCCTAACAGTTTTCTTCAATCCTTTCCAGCTGAGCTTCTGAATGTGACTGAAACACCAAAACACCCTCCTACTGGACCATAGTGTATTAACCCAATCAATTTCTGCCTGAGAGTCATGTTATCTCCAACCATGAATGGACCTTTCCTTCAAAGCTGTCCATTAACAGAGGAATATTTGCTTGAATTAATTCCTAAAAACCAGCATTAGCAGACCAGAAAGCTTGAATTTCATCAAGATCAGTGGAAATACTAGACATAGCTAGTAGAGATATGGTAGCCCTAGAAATTCTAGAAGAGCATCGGTTGCTTTATTTTCCTCACCAGTTCTATATTGTATCTCATGGTCATAACCAAGAAGCTTTGAAAGCCATTTCTGTTGAGTGGGAGTTGTGACTCTGCTCCATCCAATATTTAAGATTAATATGGTTGGTTTCAATGATAAAATGTTTGCCAGTAAGATAAGGCCTCAACTTCTTAATAGCCATCACAATAGAGAAATCCTATATGTTTAGTTGACAATGCCTTGCTAAAATAAGAAATTGGATGCCCATTTCACATTAGAACTTCTCCCAACCTGGAGCTAGGTGCATCCATTTCAACAATAAACATCTCATTAAAATGTGGTGTAGCCAAAACAAGTGCAGTTGCCATTACTTGCTTTAACTGATTGAAGGCAATCTGAGGTTCATTAGACCACTGAAATTTATCTTTTTGTGGTAACATAGTGAGAGGTTTTGAAAGCATCTCATGGTTTCGAACAAACCTCCTGTAATACCCTGTTAATTCCAAAAATCCTCTCAACTCCTTAATATTTTTGGGAACCGGCCAGTCTAGCATTGCTGCAACCTTTCTTGGATCTGTAGAAACCCTTCCTGCTGTAATAATGTGACCCAAATATTCTACCTGTTGCCCAGCAAAATAACATTTGCTTCTTTTTGCAAACAAACAATGTTGCCTCAAATTCAACAAAACAGTTCTCAAATGCTGCAAATGCTCCTCCCATGAATGACTGTAAATTATGATGATGTCAAAGAACACACGTACAAACTCTCTTAAGAATTCCTAAAAAACTGAAGCATTTCTTGAAGGTAAAGACAGATCAAAGAACACAAGTATAAAATCATATCATATTCATTTGAAGGTAAAAACAGCACTTCAGCACAAAACTCATAAACTTGCATTTTCCAACAAAATTGGGAGCATTTCTTGGAGCTAATTACCTGTTTCCGGTGAGCCAATGTAACCTTAAATGAGTTACTATATTTGGTAATAGATCCTAACTCAGTGGCAAGCTGACTATTCAGAAAATTATAAGTGCTCCCTGAGCCAATGATAATCAAAATTGGTCTTACCAACCTAACGAACCTGACCATTTACCTTCAAAGTATGATAAGCAGGTTCTCCAGTAATTGCATGAATGGATAGTTGATGCTCCTCTTCTGCAGACATCATAACCTGGTTTCCAATTTTGGCAAAAGCCTACTTTTAGCCCTTTACCTTACTAGATTTATAGGTTTTAGCCCCTCACCTATTAGAATTAAAGAAAATAGCCCTCACTTATAACATTTTGTTAGTTCTGTTAGCTGACTATTAATTATGTTAGCTGATTATTAGCTTATTGTTAGCTAGCAAAAATTTATTTTCAGCTAATAGAGTTAATAGTTAGTTAGCAAAAATTTACTTTCAGCTAATAGAGTTAATAGTTAGTTAATAGAATTAGCTGGCAAATACCTACTTTCAGCTAATAGAATTAATAGTTAGCTAACAAAATTAACAATCAGTTAATAGAATTAACGAAATATTATAAAATGAGGGCTATTTTCTTTAATTCTAATAGGTGAGGAGCTAAAAGTGTCATAGTATAAGGTGAAGGGCTAAAACCTACAAATCTAGTAAGGTAAAGGGCTAAAAGTAGGTATTTGCCTCCAATTTTGCTCGTCACCTTCATTCACCCCTTGTGCATAAATTTTCCAAGCTATATAATCTTTTCTTGGAACATTTATGTCCTGGTACATACTTCTCATCCCACCAGAAACAAAGTCCTTTTTGTTTCTTCTCTTCTAATTCTGCTTCTTATAACGTTTTGGTTCCTTTGGTTTTGGGTAGGTTTTTAGAGGCTGATGAGATAATAGGGGACTAATCTGGGTAGTGAAAAGTGGAATTTTAGTGAGTTGTATGGATTGAAGGTAAGTTTCTGAGCATTTGGAGCCAAGGGTAATAAAGGTGGAATAGTTCTGGTATAGGCATGTGAATTTTGAATTTTGAATTTTGGTTTTTTTAAGGATAGAGTTTATGGTTGCCTCTTGATGTTTAGCGTATGGTAAAAGGATTCTACAACAGATTTAGGGTGTTGATAAACAACAAAATCCTGCAACTCCTGAACGGCTTAATCTTCTAAACATCTCACTTTCGGCCTAATCTTCTCAAGCTCCCTTAAAGATTCTTCTACCAAACTAGTTGGATTTAAAATTTTCCATTGTATCATAGGATCTGCACACTATTGTCACCAAATCTTAAACTCATAAAAAATATATTCCTTCCAACTAGGGGAACCCCTTATGAATTTTATTTTCCATGTAAGCCTCATGTCAAATAATGGATTCCCCACTCAAATGCACAGCTGCAATTTTAATTTTGTTGTCTTCTGCAATATTATGAGATTCAAAGAATTGTTTACATTTGTACATCCATTCTCTAAAATGATCAGTGCCATTGTACTTAGGAATATCAAATTTTCCCATTTTGGTTGTATTAATGAGAGGATCATAAGAAGCAGTGGATCTAGAAAATCTTACACCGCTATTGAGTGACTGGTGTTCTCCACTACAAATTAGTTCTGTTGTAGAATCTTTTGAAACCTTCAGGGAATTGATGGCTGGCATAACTACTGCCATTTCATCCTTGAGTGCTGCTTGATCACTATCATATCTTTTCTGGAACTCCTGGAATTCCTTGGCTGTACTTTCTGCACTTTTCTGTTCTTGAAGACAAATATCTTCTGCCATAGCCACAAGTCCAAGACATCTAATGGTCTGATACCAAATGATAGACTAGAAGAAAAGGTAGGAATAGTGGTAGAATCAGAATGATGAAGAAGAAAAATTGCAGAAGAAGAAAAATTGCAGAATAAGAAAGTTAAGAGGAAGAGAGATTCTGGAGAAAGTCAATTCTTCTTAATTCCACAGTCCACACTACACCATACCATTCGGCCAAGAAAAAATACGGAGTAAACATACTAACTGCTATTAACTTCCTAAATCAACTATAATAACTACCACAAACTAAACTAATAAGCTAGTTAATGAAGAATAAAGTTGTTCATGTCAGCAATCCAAGTCAGTACTACAAATTGGCATTGCATCAACCTTTCTGGTGTCCACTTTTGAGTTGGACAATGATTTCCATGCAGATCTAAGAAAAACAGTTCTGTTTTGCATGGTCACCGCGGATGGTCTTGGCGAGGCAATGGGGATGGGGCGCTGTCTAGGGTTTGTCTTTTCAATGCTAAGAAGAGAAAATTTATGTTTTTGGAAGCAATAACATCAATTCATTCTTAACTCCAAAACCCTAATACAAAATAGTACTTGTATAGAGATTCTAAAACCCTGAGATGACTCCTAATATTACTCTTAAACAAAAGAAAAAAAGAAAAAAAAGGACACCAAATCTTAAACAAAAATAGGAAACTAAATTAAATCCTAATAGGAATAGGAAGGGGTGAACTGCATCATTGGTCAATAAATCTTAATTTGGATTTTGGTCATATACTCTGCAAAATTAGTCACTTAGTTTAGTTTTTATTTTAGTAACTATCAAAATTTGGAATTTTGGTCAATTTAGTTTTAAATTGGATACATCTGTCACTAGATGATTCATAGTTGGTGTGATTTGAGAATGGCTGAATTTTTGGGTTTTGGGGTTGTTGGACATTGGGTTCAGGGAGAAGCATATCTTTTTTTCATGCACACCAGGGGCTTGATTAATGTCTGAGTGGGGCAGTGTGGGTAAGGATGTGCACTGTTTTTGAATGTAAGAGCCTTGTAGTATGGGTTACGGTTACTGTGGCATTTACCCTTATATTCTTGAATAAAAAAATTTCAGGTTTGCCTATAAAAAAGAAAAAAGGAAGGAAAAAAAAAAAAAAGAAGAAAACTAGTATATAACTCCATAACTCTATTGTTGTTTACAGTTACTTTGGAATGACATGTAGTCTTCCATGTTGTTAACAGTCAATTATTTGTTCTTTGAGATTCAGCTGAAAATCTTTTGTTATTACATTCCATATTATAGGTAATAGTGCCACTGGTGCTATTGCTGGGGGGGTCGCTGCTGGTGCTGCCCTGCTGTTTGCTGCCCCTGCAATAGTGCTTGCTTGGTGGCGGCGAAGGAAACCGGAAGATCATTTCTTTGATGTACCAGGTTTGTGAGTTGTGAAATTATGGTTTCATTTGATCCTTTGCTTTTATCATACAGCTTGCGTTTTCACTTTTTCTAAATTTCATTGCAGCTGAAGAAGACCCTGAGGTTCATTTGGGACAGCTTAAAAGGTTTTCTTTGCGTGAACTACAAGTTGCAACTGATAATTTTAGCAACAAAAATATTCTAGGTAGAGGAGGATTTGGTAAGGTTTATAAAGGTCGCTTGGCAGATGGTTCACTAGTGGCAGTAAAAAGACTCAAGGAGGAACGTACCCAGGGTGGAGAGCTGCAGTTTCAAACAGAGGTAGAAATGATCAGCATGGCTGTGCACAGAAATCTTCTACGTCTTCGTGGCTTTTGCATGACCCCTACAGAACGGTTGCTGGTTTATCCTTTTATGGTTAATGGAAGCGTAGCATCTTGTTTGAGAGGTACCTTTCCTTGGCATTATTTAATTATCCATATGTATCCTCTTTTTACTGACACTATCTATTTTTTGTCTTTTGGTTGCTAATTTATGAGTTAAAATTAGTACTTGAAGTTTGGTTAGTAGCACAATTTTTCTTTGGCCAGGATTTGTAGCACAAAATTGAATTCTCAATGTCTGGTTACTTATTCAGTTTGAGAAGAAAATTTGAAGGTGCCACATTGCCACTCACAAATCTTTATGTCAAAAGATATTTATGTTGGTTAATTTGAGAAGTGTGGTAAATGTTGTTGGCTTTGAACCATGAAATTTCATGGAACTTGTTGAAGCCAGGTTTGAAATTTCTTAGAAAAAACTAGCATTGGTCTTATCCTTATGCTGCACAGTTTCCCTCCCATAATCTTATCTCTGCATTCTACAGAACGTCCTGACTCACAACCAGCACTTGATTGGCCAATCCGGAAAAGAATTGCTCTGGGAGCTGCAAGGGGGCTTGCTTATTTGCATGATCATTGTGACCCTAAGATTATCCACCGTGATGTAAAGGCCGCAAATATACTGTTGGATGAGGAATTTGAAGCAGTTGTTGGGGATTTTGGACTGGCTAAACTTATGGACTACAAAGATACACACGTCACAACTGCTGTACGTGGTACAATTGGTCATATAGCCCCTGAGTACCTCTCAACTGGAAAGTCATCAGAGAAAACTGATGTGTTTGGGTATGGTGTCATGCTTCTCGAACTGATCACAGGACAGAGGGCTTTTGATCTTGCTCGGCTTGCAAATGATGACGATGTGATGTTACTTGATTGGGTATGTGCTGTCTTCCCTTTTTACATATGTATGCCAATTGTTTTGCATTTGCAAGTCTTTGTCATTGCTGTGCCTTGTACTTGAATTTTCTAGTTATTGCTACAACTAGTTAGAAGATGATAAAATTGAGCATACAAAAGTATTAAGGGCCATCATTAACAAGATGAGTATAGATTTTAAACTTTCAAAGCTCGGGTAAAAGGCAAAAAGAAAAAAGAAAAAAAAAAAGAAAAAGAAAAGAAAAACAAATAGTTTTCTTAAACATGTTTATGGTGAAGGTTTCCAGCTTCTGAGTATAGTTGTTAGTAATTCAAGGAAGCAACCCTAAAAGTATCTTTACTCCCATCTTTTAGATGTCACATGAACAAATAATTTATGATTACATGTTCACAGAAAATAAGTTAATTTAATTTTTAAAAAACTGTTCCACTGTAAGCCGCACATACCTAGTCAGAGACTTAAACGGTATGTGGTTTATGGATTCTTGTAAGCGCCATATATATCTTTAATCATATAAATGCAATGCGCAACAACCATGGACAGGCAGGTCAAAGTTGGAATGCAGTTGGCACTGTTCCTAGTTATTGAATGTTCTTCTGAACTTTGCAAAATGAGACTTCTGTTTGATTTGAGTTGTAGAATATAGACCACGGCTAGAGTTGGTTACTGCTACCCCACAGATATATCCAGTAACATGTACTAGAGTGTTGAAATATTTGTTAGAAAATTGCAAATAATTTCCATAAGCTGCCTATAGTAGTACTGTTGTACTAACTATTCTAAACCTGAATGGCATTAGTTTTATAACTTATCTGTCCATTCCTAGATATTTAAAATGCAACATAATGCAAGCACTGAAACAACTGGTTTGTAAATACTTATTCCTAGCCAACTCATCATTTTTGAAATTTTAGGTAAAAGGTCTTTTAAAAGATAAGAAGTTGGAAGTACTGGTTGATGCTGATCTTCAAGGAAATTACATGCAAGATGAGGTGGAACAACTGATCCAAGTGGCTCTCCTTTGCACTCAAGGCTCTCCCATGGAAAGACCAAAGATGTCTGAAGTGGTCAGGATGCTGGAAGGAGATGGCTTGGCTGAAAGATGGGAAGAATGGCAGAAAGAGGAAATGTTCCATCAAGAGTTTAACCATAGCCACCATCCGAATGCTGGTTGGATTATAGCAGATTCGACTTCCCACATCCCACCGGATGAACTATCTGGGCCTAGATGATCGATACACAGCCACAGGTTTTGTATTTTAAAACGACGTTATACATCTGTGCATATAATTTTCTTTTAATTTTACACCATTCATCACTTGATGTGTAGTTTAGGTTGCATTATTGAATCTATGTTATGACTTGCTCATGTTGTAAGTTTAATAGAGTTTTAGACTGCATTAGATGCTAGCAAAGACGGCAATTAAGATGTGGCAGCACCCAAGTTATATTAATGTATTGAAGAATAGTGAAGATTTTTACACTAATAATTATGTAGCCATTTGCCTCTTAAATACTTTCTTATTAGGTTCGTATCAACTTTGTTTCCACCAGAATCGTCTGCTCATTGCTTGCAAAGTGTAATGTTTTCAAAATTTTGAGTATAAATATCCCTCACTTTAAATATTGAAAATTAAGATTTAATTTAGAATTGTTGTGATTTTGAGTTTTAAATTTTAGTTTTCAAAAATTT